AATTGCAACACACTTGTTTCTAGTGGAATGAAAAATGCTTCCGCTCTTTTCTATATTAAAAAAAAAAAAAGAGAATAGAGAAATTATATTATTCTCCATTGTCAGCTGTCCAACACTGGGAAAATGTTTTGCTTTTACTATTGTCTACTTTTTTAGCAGTCCACCTCATTTAAGAACGGAAGGGGGATTTACATGCTGGTAATCTTTTCTGTCAGAGGAACTATCATACTGTCTGCCTAATGCTCCTTCCATGGTATTTTTCCAGCATCACTTGTTCGCTGTGTGCCCATGTGTGCAACTCAACAGTTTCTCCTGTCAGAGAGCAGTACAGTGCACTCAAAGCCGATTTTATATTCTTGAGATTCCCATCCCAACTGGTTCAAAAATCATAAAGACCATTTTGAAATTCATTGGTAAATGCTGCTCGTGTGTTACTTGAGCGAGCAAATTGGGTTGTAAGTCATCAGATAGGATTGGGGGTGCTCTTTAGTTCCTGCTTGGCTATTGTAGTGGAGCAGGATTGATGGAGGTTCTCGTGATAAATCCATAAGGAATACAGAGCTTCTCCAAACTCTTCTCTGAGAAAGGCTTCCCAGTCTTAGTCTCCTGTCTTGGACATGGAGGTTACATTCTCCCAGTCCCTTTTCCTGTCCCGCAGTTGAGAAACGATTAACACAGCAATAATTGGTGGAAGTAGTCTCTTGGGTCCTCCTTAAAGCCTCATGAGCAAGCTGGTGTGCCTGGTTCATTGCTCCTAACCCTCCTACCTGCCTGCAACTGTTTGGCAGTCAGAAAGCTAATTTGCAATAACACAAATATGCGGAAAGAACCCTGCTTTCTAAATGTTACCAGCAATGTGTGAGATACGTGTGACAGGGCCCGTCTGAACACCTGCAGGGAAAGCAGGGATCTCTGCAAGAAGATGAAGGGCAAGAGCTGGAACCAGCCGATGGGACCAGTCCCAAAGAGAAGAAGATGAGAGGATCTGCAAAGGGATGGGTGGACATTTGCTGCTCGTGTGGAGAGAGGTGTTCTGTGGACACAGCTTGTTAACCAGGAGGAGAGCCCTGCCTCCTGCTGCCGTTCGGTGAGTGAAATTCATAGTATTTATGTGTCATCATGTACCTCCTTTTAATCTGAGAAAGTAGGAATCGCTAGAGAGTCTGGTTTGGCTAGTAAGGAACAGGATGTTTTAAGTTTTTATACAGGGTTTCATATATGATTTTTCTTAAATATAATATTTTGCAAAACTGAACTCAGTCAAATACATGTATCAGTTGTAAGTGATCTGTGATCATTTTATTTCTTCTGTTTTAGGAAAATGCTGACTTAATGTGTAGCTGGGTAAGTAGGGAGACTTTTGGAGCCTCTTTTTTCCCCTGAATCTTGCTCTAGCTTGTTTTCCCAGGCAGTGGCAGTCACTCCTAGCTCGTGTGTCTCATGCTGGCCTGCTTACACCTTCTGAGAGTGGTGCCACTCTCCATCATCGCGGATCCAATACCAAAACTGGCAATGCAAACAGTTCATGAGCCATCCCCTTGGCTGGCACATGACGACCTTCATGCCCTGCTCCAGATGAGAAGAAGCTGTAGGCCGGACTGTGACACCAATGTTACTCAATATCTTGTGCTCTTTAGGAGGCAGTTGGGATGGAGGGGCAGCCTAAGAGCAAGAGTTATGGAAAGAACCTAGGAAATGTCATGTGTCTGGGACCTTGGTGACATGCTGGTGTTTAGATAACGGCACCAGCAAACTGAAATCACAAGAGTCATCTTTCGGATTGAGGTCCTTCATGAAACATAGCTGTGTGTTCTGCAGCTTCTGTCACCCAGTGTCAGCGTGTTGAAGTATCATCCACCACTATCTTCCTTAAAAATTAGTCCCTGCAAGTGGCGATACATTGCTGTACTGCACACCAACCCATAACCATGGAAAGTGGGTTGAAGTTATACAGCTGAGCCCTCAGACAACACCACATCTGCTCTGAGGAAAACCTTAGCTGAATTTCTTTGCCAACTGAAGAGCAATCTTCATCCAAGGAGGAAGTTCTTAAAGGAAAGCGATCTGCTTGATCTTCACGGGATACTCACAGCTGTTGTGAGGAAGTAGAGTCTTAGCAGTGCCCACCTGGTCCTTCTGCTTGGCCTCACCACCTCATTGACCTCATGGTCCACTGTTCAAGGGCAACTAGACTCCTCTGGAGTCAGAGGTTTGTGCTTTGACACCTAGGGTTCATTCTCCATGCTGTGAGAACAGGGTTCAGCCTCCTGGCTGTGAGAACAGGGCATTGAGGAGTGGAGAACGCTCCTGTTTTCTTGTAAGTCACTTGGTTGATACTTCCCCCCCGTCAGGGCGTGCTGTGATTAGGGAGCACGTTCTGCTCATTCTGGCTGCACTTCTACATTCATTTGCTTTCTCACTCACTTCCCCTCAGAGCCTTTTTGCTGAGGGAAGGAAATTGGGCGCAACACGGATAGCAGAGGCTGCCTTATTCAGGAAGAACAGTCATTCTCCCTTGCCCAGTCTCTGCTGTGTGGGAGATGTGAGGCATATGACCTCAGCGGAAGGGGAAGACATGGAGCACACGCTAGGACATTATAAATAGCCACCCCTTGGTGATGCCTCTGCACATTATCCAAGGACAATCAGAGCCCATCCGTGGGGAGACGCTGCCAGCCCTGCAGAGCCAACTGCCTCCTGCACTGCTTCCTCTTCCTCCTCCCAGGTAAGCCAGGAAAGCAGAAGGACGGATTTTCTTGGGTTTGGTTAAATCCTTCTGTTTTTGACTAGCTGTGGAGGCATGCTGGTAGGAAAGGAGTCTTTTTCTTTTGAGTTCTCCTCCCTTGTCTGTCTCTGATGGACCAGCTAGAAGAAATCATCTAACACAGAACGGGCTCCTTGTTCAAGGGGAGTGCTGGAGGGGCAGCAAGTCAAAGAGACAGAAAGGTACCTGCTGCCTGTGGACAGGTCCTGTGGACATCCTGCTGTACAGATAGCCGTGCGGTTGTGCTGCATCACGGTTCCTGTGAGGGGCTGAGCGGTTATTTCTATGGTTATTTCAATGCTACCTGTGTCCATGGAGCAAGGGAGAAGGTTCCCTGGGAAGGACGCAGTATCAGAGAGGTTGAGAGTCCTGGCAGAAAACAGGAGAAGCTCCATGAGCCCTAGAGAAGCAAGAGCTATTCTGGAAGGTCCTCAAAAATGGCGACCTCTAGACTGTGCCTGGGGTGAGATGCTGAATCCCACTTGTTAACAATGTGGCCTGCCTGCAAGGGTGCCCTCAGACCGACGTGTACCACTGCAGTGAGCACTGCTGCCGTCCCCACGGAGGAGGTCAGCCAAGGGAACCGCTGCTCCCCACGCCAAACCTCCAAACAGAAGCAGGTAGCGATACCAGGCGCCGCGGGGTCAGTACTGCTGTGTGTGGCCTGGGTGCGTGGCCCAAGATCTCCTCCCCATTAGTAATCCTGCTTGAGCCATGCATGAGTATTTCTGAGATGGCTCCTACAGCGGAAAACAGCATGAAGTTCCTGTTCCTCTAAATCCAGAGGAACTCCGAAATAAATTAGCCAACTTGTGGGGTAAGCTCAGATTCTTGGAGTTTGTGCAAAGTACGTTAGGAGCCACCAAAGAAGGAGAGAATGGCATAAAAGCAACAAAATCTGAGGCAAAACCAAATGTCACCTGCACACGGCAGAAGAAATGTGAAAAACCCTCCACACAACCTTGCTTTAAGTGGTATCTTGTGGCACATGAATTTACTTTTTAGTTTAACCCTGTGCCTTTCCCTTGGCATCTCCATGAAGTGGCATGGGGCTAGGTGGATTCAACGCAGTATCAAGGTGACAGCGCCGGTGGTTTAAAGTGGTCCAAAGTTATGTATGGACCCTCTTAGTGTATTAACTAATTTTGCAGAGGAATGAAGATATCTATCATGTGGAGCTGGCTAAAGACCACCTAGGTGAATGGATAACTTATTATAATTAATAAAAATAGAATAGCAGAGGAGCTGAATGTCTTGCCCAGTGATACACAGTGACCTTTATTAACTTTAACTAGTTTCAGCAGACAGCCAAGAGACAGTCTGGTCTGGGATCTTCATCTGAGTAGTTCCTTTTCTGCCTTCCTCCTTTCCATCATAAACACTCAAAGAAACCACTAACCTCATCTCAGTTTGACTGTGTGTGTGGGTTTCAAGAGGGAGAGTTAGATGTCAGCGTCCACCTTTGTCCTAAAACAAGTCACTCCTCTATCAAAATGTTAGCATGTGCTTCTTGTCTAAGTGTAGGCTTCTACAATGAAATCACTCAGCCTTAAAACTCTGTTCAATAGGAGTTGATGGTAACCACAGTGCCTTGCAGAGCATTGGTATCTTCATAAGTCGTGTAGATGACATCTTCCTTGCACTTAATTGATACCATGAGAGATTGTGTCCTGTATCAAACACATTGCAATTTCAGTATGCGAAAAGGACATTTCCATTTGAAATGACTCTCATATAAGGTCTATAGGTTTATATTGGGGATTGGCTCCTGCTAGCTCAGCTTCCCTGGGGATGGTGTTAGAAGGTAATTTCCCTCTCCCCTTGCTTTTCTTTGCTCTTCTAGGAAGCTTATTGCCCCCAAGGTGCTCATAAAAGGCTCATGAACCATGTGGGGCCAAGGGGAAATAAGCAGCTCCTCAGTGTTGGAGCAGATGTGAGTGAAAAAGGTGAGAAGCCGAAAGGAAATGCATTGAGTTGAATCTGCGTTTTTGCACTGTCTGGACTTCGATGTCAATACTGGTGCCTCCTGAGGCAATCCTCAGGATCCACAAGGAACTAAAAACTCCCGGCATTTGCAGTGGGGCGGGCTTGGATCAAACAGCCAAGAACCACCATGCGTTGAAAGGGCTCCTTGGTGGCGTGCTAGGCGTGCGAGCAGAGGGGGCACGGCTGGCGACGGCTGCGCAGGTGATGGTTCCTCTCTCTTCCTCTCCCCGCTGCCCCCATGCAGGGCACCATGTGTGTCGGGAAGTGCACTCGAATTGTGGGCCCCTGCCTCCTGACACTGAGCGTGCTCTCCATCGCAGCCAACGTCCTTCTGCTCTTTCCTGGCTGGGCATGGAAGTATCTGGCAGATGGGCACATCACCAAGGAAGCGAAGGCGATGCCAGGCATCTGGGGAGGAGGAATAACTGTAAGTAGTGTGGTTTACACGTTCCTTGTGTGAGTGCGTGTGTATTCCAGAGCTTTTAGCCCAAGGGCTTGCAATCCAGTTACCGTTTTATGTGCTGTGACCTGGCTTCCTTTTCCTCCAGTTTCCTTGCCTGGGTAGGTCAAAAACAAAACAAAACAAAAAAAAAAATCTGGGCCTCAATTTCCTGACCCTCAAAAATGAGGAGGAGATCTCGCCCCAAGCCCAAAAAGTACTGGCTGGGGTTATCCAGCCTCCAGGAAAAAAAGGGAAAATTTCTACCTTCGGATTTACAGCAATTGTGTTGCTGTAACTGGTCTTTCTTGAGCGCTTGTGTTCACCTATTTGCAAGTTCCTTTTTCACTTGCTCCTTGTTTTACTGGGGGGAGGCCCTTCAGCTGCTCTGGAGGCCGGTGCTCTCTGTGATGGCTGGTGCGGACGCAGCCCCTTGGAAGGTGTTAGGAGCCCCATTTCCTCGTGGCTTCCCAGGCGTCTGGCTGCTGTCGGCACTAGCGAGCTGCCCCAGCGCCATGGAACTAGGGGCTCACCAGCTCTTGGTGGCTCAAGCCAAAATGCCTTGCACAGCCTCCTGCCCAAGCCCTGCTGATGGGGCTCCCGTTCTACATCCACACAGAGAAACACCTGGTTTTGTGGAGGTGGTGGGCCCTGCTGGCATGCTATGAGGTTGCCTTTGCTTCATTTGCCCCACTAACCCCCAAAACCTTCTGCACAAAGTAAGATACACCCCAGCACTGAGTTGTTTCAGTTAGATGTGAAAGGAGAAGAGTAACTCCCTGGCTCCCATGCGTGAGGCTGGTGCAAGGCTCGAACTTCAAAACGGGGGAGGAAAGGCCGGAGCCAGGTTGTCCTGTCTCTTTTCAGTCACTCCTTCCTTGTCTGCAGGTGCTGCTGGCAGCAACCCACATCACGGCGGGGGGATGGCGCAGGCTCCGACTGCGGCACCCGCCGCAACGTAAGGCCCTGCCGCCGGGACGTGCCGGGCGCCGGGCGGGAAGGGAAGGGAGGCCGCCCGTTGGCACGGCGATGGGAGGCTGAGGGGACGGGAGTGCCCTGCCCCGGCATGGCAGGGCTGCAGGCAGGTGTCCAAGGCAGATGGAAGAGCAGCTCTGTGCCTCGGATGCCCACAGGCAGCTTTAGACTGTCTGTTTAAACTGTCTGTTTGCCTGGAGTGTGGCAGAGCAGCGGGGATGGGGCGACCCACGTGCTCCCTGTGCCTGCTCCTGCCCAGCTGTCCAGGTGCAGCGCTTACTTGTGCCCCTTTGGGCGGAAGTTTGGCAGAAAAGGTCGTTTTCCATCCTTAGGTCTCATGCAGACTTCACAGGTAATGCACAGCCTTACCCTTTCCTCAACTGTGCTTTCAAAGCCTCCTGCCTCAAGGGCATAGAGCAGTATTCAGCCAAGTGTTTTCATTTTTAGGGTTTCTGTCCACCCACACCTGCCTAGCTCACCACCAGGCACGCTCGCTTTCTTGGGTAACCTTGAGAAATGCCTTTGGCTCTGGGCCCCGCTTGTGCTACCGAGTGTTTCCCCTGCAGGCGTTCCTCTCCATTGTGCTGTCCATGCTGGCTCTGCTTGGCTCTGCTGCCTCCTTCATCATGTCTGGGGTTGGCCTGACCAACGGGCCCCTCTGCTTGTACAACACCTCAGGCAACGAGCTCAACCAAGGCCCCCGCTGGGGTTACCCCTTCGTGGACCCCAACAGCCAGACTTTTGACTCCAGGTAACACAGATGGGATTTTGCCGTCACAATAAAGTCCGCCCTGATGCGGTGACCTCAGCATCTCCACCTTGTCCAGGGCAAACCCAATGATGCTGTTGTTTAGTAAAGCAGGGTTACAGCAAGAGGGAACGGTGGGCTTGTGTCAGGGCTTGCTGCTTGGGATGAATGTCCATTTGAGATGAAAGTCACCCGTTCTCTTTTCTCTCTTGTCCGCTGAGCCAGGTGTCCTTTTCCCCACAGAAAGACTAGTTTCTGTCTGTTTGTTTGTTTTGTTTTGTTTCCATAGACAGAAATATTTCTCTAACTTAGATAATGTGAACTCTTCTCAGTGGTGGCCAGTGACAGAACAAGGGGCAATGAGTACAAATTGAAACACAGGAAGTTTCATCTCCATGTGAGGAAGAACTTCTTCATTGTTAGCATGACAGAGCCCTGGCACAGGCTGCCCAGAGAGGCTGTGGAGTCTCCTTCTCTGGAGATCTTCAAAACCGGGATCCCGCCTGGATGCCGCCCTGTGCCCCTGCTCTGGGTGTCCCTGCTGGAGCAGGGGGTTGGACTAGACAATTTCTAGAGGTCCCTGCCAACCTAAAGCATTCTGTGAGTCTTGTTTTGTTTCAGTGGCAGACATAGCATAAGAGATACTCAACTTCTAGGTATTTTTAATGATGCCTTTTCATCCAGTCGTTCTGGTGACTCTGTCTAGGACCAGTGAGTGGTATCAGCATAGTGGAGAGGCTGATGGAGAAAGAGGGCATGGGAGATGCCCGAGGCAGGTCTGAGACTGGCAGAAATGTGAGCGGAAGCTGCCGCCTTAGTGAAATCACAACCTGAGCAAAGCCTGTGAGAACGTCAGCGGGCAATGTCCTGACATCTTTGGTCACCTATTCAACAGAAATGGATGATGACCTCTGGGGAGAAAATAGTCCTTGTTAAACACAAAGTTCTTCAGGGAAGGACTGGAGTTTGCAGTTATACCTTCGAGACTCTGAAAATGTCCTTCCAAAATGACCAGGCAGATTAGATGAGATTCCTGACTTTTGAAGGGGGACTAGTTTCAGGATCTACTGTTGCCAAAGAGAGTGAAAAAAGCTAGAGCTTAGGTTTAAGGTAATATTGCACATGACCTTGTCCAACTATCTTGTGCAGGATCTCCATACAAACTGAAAATTATTTGCATAATTGGAGTCTCTGGAGCACCTGCCTAGAGCCTGTGGGCATCGTAACCTGGAACGTCTGCTTCTTCTCCATCCTGCTGCTCATCAGCGCTTCTGAGATGGTGCTGGCCTCTCTTCAGATCATCAATGGCTGCTTTGGGAGCCTGTGTGGCTTTTGTGACGGGAAATAGGTCATTTTACCGCCTATCATTTCCCATGTGCTGCTTTTCCCTGCTCTGAAGGGTCAGGATGGTGCGACAAAACTACCTCATTTGAAGTTACAGAAGTAGGTGAAGGACAGAAGGAGCAAGCAGACGATCCTTGCTTATGGAATATGAACCTGGACATGGACCTTCTGTCACTCCCTGTCAGTATGAGCTGCATCCTGGGTTTGAACACAGCACTTGCAAGGTAACTCGTATCTCCCTGTTTATTACAGCCTTGGCTGATGCTCTCACATATGTTCCCCACTGCCTCATTACCCAGCATGAACACCCCATACTGGGGAATTTCTTCCCCCGTTTCCTTTCTGAGCTCCTGGACCAGCGGCGAGTGCTGGAGCAGGGACCCAAAAATGTGGCAAGTGCCACAGTGCAGAGTTTCCTGTATGAAGAACCTGGGCTTTGTCTGAACCACGGTGTGAACACGGGGAGAGTTTAGGTCTGTGCGAGTCTGTGGGCATCCAAAAGGAACTCAGCCCGCAGAGCCCCCGTGGCTGGTAGCACCTTGCTAACTTTGCAGTGGGCTTTGCCCTTTGCAACCTTTTTCTCTAGGAAATAAGGTTTTAAGGTCCTAAATCACTTGTGACTCGTTGCTCACCAGCGGTGATGCTCCCCACACCTCACGTTTTGTCTTTTCTTCGAGGAGCACCAACTCTTGCACAGCCCTACGAGTACTGGAGGCTACAGAGGCTATAGCTGATCCCTGCAAAGGAAGGAGTCAGGGAGCTGGTGACACTGTTTCAGTGGAGCCGCTCTCACCAAGGCACTTTGCGGAGAGCCCAAAACAGGGGGCACGGTGGGGTTCTCTCTGGGTGCAGATCTCTGCTGAAGGCCTTTGGGCACAATTTGCACAGCCTTCTTAGACATCAGTCTGGAGGAATTCCTGTTTCTAGAGCCAAGTGCCAGGAGCACAGGCTCCCCCTCTACAGAGGACAACTACCTAAGCCTGGAAAGGAACTAAAACATTGCAGCAGTGTGTGCAGCATGTTTTGGTGCTTCTTTTGTGTGCAAAGGGGTCTTCCAGTGCATCCTCTCTGCGTTTTGCCTCTTTTCGCTACTTGGAGCGAATGAATTCAGGTATTGGCAGCAAACTGACCTTGGAAATCAGTCTCGTGGGCTCATGAGTCATGGAAAGAGAAGTGGATGTGGAAGGGATGTGCAACTCCAAGCTTGACTTTGAGTGGGGAGGAAATGACACAGCTTGGGAAGCAGCAATCTCTGTTATTCATCTTCCTACGTTTTCCACTTGCACAACACGGGTAAAATCTGACTGTAACATGTGATACCATAGTATTTATAGATAAAATATATGGAAGCTTAACTTATTTTCATCAATAAACCTACATTTAGGAAATTTGCTTTGGCATTTCCATGTTCACTGTGGAACAGCTCAGGCCAGGACCTGCAGCACGGATGGGGGGACATGAAGGAAACTAGAGGTTCCAATGTGGCCTCCTGTTGCTGAAGCGCACGGTGCTGGGTGACTTGGATAAAGTCATGTTGGCTGAGATGGTGCTGGTTTTCTGGTGTATCCCCCACAAAAGGCAGGTACACTCAGGGACACCTTTCCTACATGTGTAACTGCAGCGGAGACTGTGAAAATGCCTGGCCAGTGGCTGTTTGGATAAATAGACGGTGGGAAGGAGGATGGGGAGGCAACTCAGCCAGCGTCACCCCTCTGAACCAACAGCTCTTCAGGCCATCGAAGGTGAATGATTAACCCTGAAGCCCTCTTGGAAAAAACCCACCCACTAGCCTGGCAGGGGAACCCGGGGCTGCACAGGGCATGGTGCAAGCTATGGGCTACGACGGCACAGGGGGATACGGGATTTACGGATGGGCAGGAGGTGCAGAGGGAACTGGGGGATTGGCCAAGGCTAGCCAAGTGTGCTTGGGAAAGGGCCAAGGGCTTGAGGTGGAGAGGAACAAGCGTGGGAAACTGGAGGACAGTGCACTGTATGGGCAGCCCTGCGCCTGCTGCTGCTCTCTCCTCAAATCCTCTCTCTCTTTTCTGTGCAAGTGTGTGCTCAGTTTTCTGTGCATGTGAGAGCTGGTAGCAAGTGTTAGGCTGGACTGGCCAGCAGGAAGGCTGAGAAGAGTGGGAACAGGGTCTGGGAGAGACCAAGGGTCCTGGAGAGATGGATGGTCTGGGAGCCAGTGACCGGTGAGACCGAGGGTCGGAAATTTTTGAGGACAAAGGTCTGGGATCCAGGTGAGATGAGATGCCAGAGACCCTTGAAGGGACTTGTCTGGCTCCAGGAGTTTGGTGTCTCTCCAGGAGAAGGGGGATCCCAGCATTCCCCAGTGCAGCAGGAGGCACGATCCCGCCCGTATTCCTCCTCTGCTTCCCAAGGGCCAGGGATGCTCCGGCCCCCAGCGCCGCCCAAACCCCAACGCTTTCAAAGTTAAGAAGAAAGTGACAATGATGGAACTAGTCTAGAACAGCCATCGGCCAGATTAAGCACGAAGCAAGAGAAAAAATAGCGACAAGGAGGAGTCAGCTTGAAGGATTAAAAAACCCAGCATAAATATTTATTTCTGTAGGAGAGCCCACAGTGGTGAAGGTGGGAACAGGGCAGCTGTTGAGCCAGGTGTGGTACAGCCAGAAACGGCCCAGTGATTTTGGGTAGCAGTTTATAGCTCAAGGTGATGAATTTTGTTATGAAGGAAGAAAAAACAATCACACAGTTGTCCTGCTGCTGGGTTTGCAAAGCTTCGTTCTTAGAGGGTCCATCTGAGGCTTGGCGTTCCTGGAGCCACAAACCAGGTCTTGCCCTAAGACCTTCCTTCTCCTAAAAAACCCGCTGTCCCTGAATCTAAGGCCGGTCCACGAGGCTGCAGGATTGCCTTGGGGACAAAGGGATGACACTGGTTTTAGCGACATCCTTTTCACTGCAGCCGCTCGCGGGGCCGCAGCGCCTCTCCTCACGCGCGCCCGAGGCGACGCCGCTTCGCGTCGTTGCAGCTCAACCCCCTCCACGAAGGCCCTTCACCGAGGAGCTCAAGGTGCCGTCGAAGCAGGGACCCCAGCGACGTGCGGCTCTGCTCGGCCTGTGCCTTCAGAAGAGGAGCTTCCTGTTGGAGAAGCTGACCCATGGCACCACAGCAGGACCAGCTGGGTTTGCAGGTGGGACTTCAGGCCACCATCAGTCTACCCAGCGCAAACCTGATGCTCCAGCAGCTCAGGCCATCCATGGAGCTGCCGTTTTTCCTCTCTGCTTGTGTCTAGCTACTGCCTCTCTCTTTATACCCAGCAAATTCACAAGCAGGGCAGGACCCGGCCCATGCCACAGGCAAATCACTAAGGCACTGAGCAGGCTTTGGGATAGAGATAAAACAATAGGACATGGAAATCTATAGGGCACAACATGAAAAACAAACAAAAACAAAAACAGATGTGACAACAAGTAATAAAAGTTAAAGATAGTGCTGGGATGGATGGCTGGATCTCACAGGCAGTGAACGAAAGGGAAGGGATGTGAGAGGCAGCTAAGCAGCATGGATGGATGGAAGCATTGGGCAAAACCTTTGAGGTAGCACCATCTTGCAAGGCCATCAGCAGCATGGGAACAGTATCTGTAAGACCAAGTAAAGATGAAATGTCAGTAATGGTATCAGAAATGGCAACTTTGGATATGGACTTCAAATGGTAAGCAATAGAGAAAATGTAATTAGGGACATGCTGTTTATTTGGTGGAAGGCTGGATGGGAAAAAGAGAGGTCAAGGGCAAAGAGAAGGAT